CCCGAATAAGGAAAGTCTGGTGGTTCATTTGTAGACCTGGGTGCCGTTGTACAAAGAAACCTTAGCGATTCGACTGTCGTAAGTCTATGTTAAAGAATGGGAGTTACGATCACCTTAGCGCTAAGATCGCTTTGTAAAACCGCACCCAGGCTCGTTTGTGATGTCATTGTTCTGCGACAGCAGACTCGATTATATGTAGAGTGTCGTGATATTAAATATATTGTTGACTGCGACACAATATTCAATTTCACAATGTAACCAAGGCAATTCAACATCACTTCGTTACATCCAAACTTCGATTTTCAGTCGAACAGTAATTAAAATAGCTCGGCTTTTCCCAGGTCGATATTTCGTTACATGCTGCAACTTTGTAGGCATGCATGTATGTACGCAGTATGCCTTTTCCAAAAATATACGAACCGTGAACCCGTAATGTTTTTTGAAAATTATCGACGTGAAATGTGCATTGCAGTGTGTGTCTGGTGAATTTGCATTCAATTAAAACAATTAAATCGAGGTAACATCCTGGTATATATTATCCTGTTGAATCTTGAATCTTCTTATAAACTGTCAGTTAATTGACTTATTCGACATAAACATTACCTTTGTAATTGATTCTTACAATAAATCTTATTATTCTGGGTTTAGATGTATTTATAAAAGCGTGTGTTAATTGCAATGTCCTCAGTGTTAAATTATGCATGCATATTTCATTAGCTGATTTTGAGCCACACTGAGGTGTGGTATCTATCAATGTGCATTATACATTGTGTTTAGATTGCTGTGGATTGGATTATTTCTGAAAAAATAGTTGCGTAATTCTGTGTGATTAAATTCATGAATGTACATGCAGTGTAGCTGATTTATGTCATATGTCGAGTTGCTAATCTGATGCTATTTCTTTTACGTTTAAAGTGAAAATGATATTGACATGAGGGTTCAGCATGAGAAAAGTAGCCTTATTCACAGATTTATTCGGGGTCTAACCTATATTTTGAAATATGAGTAATATTGACTACTGATAAAGGGACCAATAGCACGTAAGATCTACGGTCGATGCGCAATAATGAGCGCACATACGGGTCCTAAGTGCATCACGTGACCCGCATCCATTTCAGCAATGGCGGTTGATATGGAGCACTGTTGAAATAGACAAGCTGCCAGTCTGACACGTAATTGACGGCCTAATGTGAACATCTGCATAATTATGTTTAGATTATGCGCTTAAAGGGGCGAACGGAGCGTGCCCGGGTAGAAATTATGCTAAAAGCAAGATAATATTCAACGCCTGTAAAAACATGATATTAGAAAAATAATATTCAAGAAATATTATAACGCCTCAAGAAGGGAAAAACACGTGTTAATATCAATAATGGGGAGAAAAGCAAATATGACTCGTGTTTACAAAGATCTTCAGAACATTGCCCAATTTTTATCGTTTTTCGATGAACTGGTTAAATGACTGATTTTTTAAGAAATTCAACCCCCTAAATAATGGTGAAGAATACAACAATGGCTTGTTTTCAGTTTTTTTAGTTTGTGTTTAAAACTCTACTTCAGAGAGCCTGTGGTGTATGTCAGAGTTAAGTCGACTAAGGAGACACCCTTTGTGTCTAAATTAAAAAGAGTGTAAGGGTTGATATTTGCATTGAAATATAAAGTTCGAATTGTGTATTAACTTCGATTTGAACAAGGCCTCGACAAACAGGGTTGGGGTATATGAGCATCGACTTAATGCAAATTAAACGTATATTGAGAAACAGTGTAAAAGGTGCCTCTTAAACGAAACGAAGATGAAAATTTTCGCTCAGTTATGCAATAATGTACATACATATGGTTGACAATGCATCTCCCTACCCGCAATGAGCATAACACGTTTTACGCACCAAATACTTCCCGGTAATATCAACCCCTTTAAAGAAGCCCTACTTCATACTGTTGATCATAAACATCTAAATGCGGATGTACTTTATAATATTTAATATTAATGACATTGTTAGGATTATCTGCGTTATGTCACTATAACACACGCATAGGCGCACACAACATATCCAACGCGCTCATCGCCACAAACAGTCGAATACAGGCGAAATCACGTCCAGGCTGCTCTGTATCCAACGTATTGTCCTGAATCACGTGTTAGCGATATGAGCGTCGTGAAATGTACATCAAGCTTCAAAACTGTCACTCAATCACAGCAAACCACAGCATTCTCACTTCCGCTCATGCTGGACTAGTCAGCGAGCACTTATGAACCAATATGAACTATTTCAATTGTACAAATTTGCCCAAGAAGAAAAGATTGCGAGCCCGACTGTGAGATAGACTGGTTTCTATGCTGTCGCCGTTTGCTCGACGCCGAACGTTGAGTAAATGTTTACTGCGAGAATTTGTTGCGACTCCCCGATTCCCCACGCCGGGTCTGAAGCGAGATTGATAGACAGGCCCGCTGGCTTGAAATTAACATCATCAGCTGACTGAGAGCCGCATGCTTTGCAATACGTGAAAAACGTGCATTTTATGTGGGATGAACTCGGTGCTATGCTTGGAAATTCGGACATCCACCTGAAATTGTTTGGCTTTTTTTAAAAGCAGTTTTTGTCCATTTTAAATCAAGTCTCGTATATCTTTAAACAAAATTATTTACTTTTGTCAGAACATGTGCACTCAGTTATCTAAGCTGCGCGTTCATCCAAAGCTTTCAGATTGTGTCATGTACATTTGATAGAGATGGTTTGTGAAAATGGTAGATGCCTTCATTAAAATTATCTTCATAAAATGTTTATAACTCTTAAAACCCTGATTTTTTAAGGAATATCTACAGAAGCTAAATTAAAAAATGTAGCTTGAGCTTTGAATCAATTTATATCACATATATACTGAAGGCGATGTTTAATGCTAGAAATGACGTGGGTATCCATCGTTTAAGTGGAAAATACTTTAACCCTTTAACAATCAAACAATATAATGTATGGTTATGTCAGACAGACAATCACAGGTTTGAAGGTGTGACCAGAACTGAACAAATATCATTTTCCCTTTCTTTTTAATCAATGTTTGAAAGAGAAACTAGGCGCTGGAACATTTAACAGACCGTGCAATTTTGAAAAAGGTCATTCAAATAACATTATCCTCCAGCTGTGTCAACTCTATTGCCTAGGTCGATCTTGCAATCAATCATTACACTACCTACATAGGAACATTGTATCTATTTTATTTCAGGCGATAATTACACCTTTTCGACTTTAGACCATCCGGTCGTGGCGCAGACTTACTATACGAGTAAGTGAGTATGGCTTTACACCGCAGTTCGCAATATTCCAGCAGTATCTCGACTGGGGACACCAGAAATGGGTTTTGCACATTATTCCAATCTTAGGAATCTAACCAGGTCCTTAAAGCGAACGCTTTAACTAGGATACCCCACTTTATTACTGAAGAGTTACGAGTATTAAATACTCATGTGATATACCTTGTCCGCGGTGGAGACTACAATGTTAGAGGTCACCGACTCCGGGCCGTTTTCGCAAAGTGACTAACATCATAGCCAAGACTGTCAAAACTGTTAAAGGGGTACTTAGGTCAAGCGAATTGGCTTCCCACGAAGTTTGATTCATGTCAATACAGACCCACCGAGGGCGTGAATCGGTTGTCATAATATCAACCACTCTCCAGGATTCGATTATTTCCAGGCCGCCGTGAGAAGGGTAGAGCTGTGGTGTAAAACAGTAAACAAACAAACAAACAAACAAACGCAACAGACAATGCGTCCCTACTTGTAAGGGAGTACGGTCTCAAGTTCCTTGGAAAAGTAATACAGCAACTCACAGTTGAGCGATCACACGAGATGGTCACGAACTTAAATGCATGAACTCGCACATTGAAGTACTATACCAACAGAAACATACGGACAGCTACAGGATAAGATGTGTGAGTGAGTGAGTGAGTTGGGTGTAACATCGTTTTGATCTCATAAATCGATGGCCTACATCATAAAGCTACGGAGGCTGATCCGATTTGGATGAAGTACCAATACATGTACATGTATATGAGTATTCTGCCCTTCATCACACTTCCTTGACCGGCGATACCGAGTAAAACATATTGGCTGTGCGATACCGAAGTCGCATGCATTTTAGGTACGTGCCGTATTCGACATAATAAGCGCTCCGCTCCGCCTAAATAGACTTGAAAAGTAAATGTCGAGGTCCTTCAATGAGATAACGCTTAGAAATGCCTTTGTCATCCGTAGTTGTATTATTGTGAAGTATTCATTAGCTTAATCTCGCTACAAGTGGATCAGGTAGTGTTTGATAAGTGCCAACCCTTTCAAACTGGTTACGGGTACGGGTTCAATACGCCGGTAACATACAATGCATTTCAGCAAGTAACCAGAACAATCTCTAAATTGACGTCCTTGCCGTATAGCCGTTCAGAGGATTTACATGACACTGGCTTCATGCTTTCCGTGTCATGAATATCAGTTCCGATCTTTCAGCTTGCTGTCTACAAATGACCATCTGTTAAATTACTTTACTGTTTATCCCTAAATGTCCCAATATGCGTGGAAATATACATCACATAATTTCGGGGACATCGGTTATTAGTCAAAGTCAAAATGTTACATTAATACGGTAATTTCTTATTTATGTCGTTTATTAACCTTATCCCTCATGACCATATTCTAAATCATAAAACCATGTTCCACTTCAGGCCAATGTCCAACTAACGAAATCGTCATTCCGGTGACAAATGACGATGTCAAATCTTCAATTGCAATCGACATGGTTAATCAATTTCACCACGTGTTATGTACACGGGAAGTGTTTACACAGTTCATAGGAAAATATCCCACGGGAGTGAAATTGATCAGGTGTCGGAAAACAATGAATTACTGGCCAGAGCTAATGAAGGATTATGAAGCAAAATATCTGACACCCAATCACGCGAGATTTGACGAGAAAGCTGTTAAATATTGAATAAAAACAGAAAATATCGTATTTGGTTACTCAGTTCGTTTGACTTTAATCAAGATGTACTTTACATTCATTACGGTATTTACACACATTCTGCAGTCGAACTACAACATAGAGTTCATTTTGCGGATCCCTTTGGCAGGTTAACCTCGTCCTTAATTTCTTAAGGATAGCACACACCTCTTTGTAAATATTTTTCAAATTAGTTAATAGAGCCCTTAGTTAATTAACAATGTTCAGCTGGTTTGCCTTGGCGGCCAGTTCATAAAAAATCTAATACCATTTACTCATCTTCATTAAACATTCAGGATAATCTGAAAAGACGTTGTATTTTAGGGTGTTGCCATACTTAAGAAGGAGTCGCTTTGATAACTACGGGATCATAGATATTGGAGATCTTGGAAAACATTATCCGCCTTGGGGGTCGTGTCATAAATATCATTGTTGACCACTTATATAATGTCTGATAATATGTGCATTTTTAGGTCCGTTTGTCCATAATTGTTAAATATGTCCCTCGGAATAAATACTAGTAACATTTTATAACTGCAGGATCGATCCATTGGTATAGCCATACACCTAATGAAGCATATACCTGAATGGAGCATACACTTAAATGAAGCATATACCTAAATGGAGCATACACTTAAAGAAGCGTATACCTAAATGGAGCATACACTTAAAGAAGCATATACCTCAATGGAGCATACACTTAAAGAAGCATATACCTCAATGGAGCATACACTTAAAGAAGCATATACCTCAATGGAGCATACACTTAAAGAAGCATATACCTGAATCACGGAAACAGCAATATCAAGAATATACTAAATGACATGTACTGATTCCAATCGACTGTAATGCTTGGTTATGCCTATAATTTATTTCCATCGCTGCAACGTCTGGTTCTATGGGTCTAACATTCTATGCGACAGAACGTGCGTTTAACTGACTCGGTCCAGTGGTCAACTGATGAGAACTGATGACACGACTCCCGTAGATACGAGAGATAGTCACTTTATCCATACATAACATATCAAATAAATAGTAGCCTTTCATACATACACATTCCGCCCAGTTGGCGGTATAGGATTCATCGAGTACTATATCGAATATGGATTTTATCAAACCAAATACTGAGTGTCAATTTATGGATAGTGTAATGACGTTATATTGACACGTTTGGACATCTGGAGAACACTGAGAGTACGAGAAAACACTGAACTATTCAAAATAATAAATGCAGTTATCCCTAATGTTTTCCCAGTTCTAAATTTGGAAATACAAAATCAGATCACAATGAATATTCGTAAACGGGCACTTTGAATAAAAATAAAGTCATATAATTTCCAGAACAATTGCCAAACTGGAACATTGATAACACTGGAAAATATTGGAAGGATAACAAGCCTTACTTGGTCTTTGAGGAAGACACAGGGGATTATTTCTGTCATTGGGCATTTGTTCTGGCAGTGTTACTGACTAATTATAGCTAATAGCGTTACAGACAGGATGAACCCAACGTGTACTCAATAATTCCTTTTAAAAAAGGCTAAAAGTTGATCGGAACATTTAATGGAGCGATTATAGAAGCCCTGCTTTCATTTTAATGATCCCCTCTTTGTGCCAATGTTACCATAATTACACAGCACTATATTTGAAAAAAATACGCCAAAGGTTCTAACTAACACTATGGCAAAGTCTGTTTTTGACAATATGTCAACAGAACAGATTCAGTTGCCGCTGTTGGAAACAGTAGTTTGCTTCTAAACTAATCTACTTTCGGCCACAGAGATCAAAACATTTATTAGCGACCTGTCGAATAAACTCGGCCAATTCCGTCAGTGTCCGGTCATTTCCGTCATGACCAAGTCGCAAGCATCACAGATTTGTCTTTTGCACATTTGCCCAATCACAAATTGTTCTACAACAGCAAAAACGATTTTCATGTCAAATTTTAGATTGAAGAAAAAAGAACAGAGTTTAAACTATGTGTCGTCCGTGTCATAGCAACAACCACATGACGTCATTTCGACAAATTTGAATGTCGACATTCAGCACAATACTACACATGGCAGTGTCAATTTCACTTCACATATAATGATGACGTCATCAGTTCACGTGCACATATACATATTTTGGCCATTTCGAATTTGAGAAGGTCAATCTCATTTGTAGATAAACTGTTCACAATTCCTGTTTCTCTACATTGGCATACCCGTCAATAAAAGTCACAAGTACTGAGCAGGCTGCGCTATTTGTCTAGCCGGAGGTCCGATTCGCGATGTGCCTGCCTTCTATCAAGACCATTCAGCATTTTTTCTATGCTTTTCAGTTCACTGTGAGGATTGGCGTGAGTCACTGCTATGCTTTGGAGTGGACTTTTCCTTGAGGGTGGACTTTGACACATTGATGATACTGAATGGGTGATGCCCCGAGAAGATGGTTCCCCACCCCCCAGGGGAGCACAAGGTGAGGTGATGGGGGACCCTGCAGAGGCCATGGTGGTCTTTGTCAGGGGTATTGCGTAGGGGTTGAATCTGTGGCCCGCGCTTCGAGAAGCGAAAAGAGAACTGAGGTGGTGAGATCCTGCGAGGTGGGACAGCGACGTCCCGGGAAGGCCCAGGGAGGGGTATCCTTGGGGGAGGAGGTTGGAGTTCTGGAGGAGGCCGTGAGAACCCCCCAAGTGGTTAGACGACCCAATCCCCGGGCCATGGAGATGGGAGGTTGGAATTGGGGACATGTTGTGACCCGAGTGATGGAGAAGGGATACCGGAAGAGACCCGTGGGATAAGGATGATGTGTTGAATAGCACAGGGTTGATTGGGTAATGCAGGCCCGATGTGGATGAGGGGTAACCCGATGGGCAGAGATAAGGGAACATTGGGTGAGACACAGATGGCTGAATCACTGTCACGTTCGGGGGACTAGTGTGCTCTTTGAAGAAGGACTTCTCACGTTCAACAACCATTTCTTTCACATGTTCACTGTCCGAGTCTGATCTCTCACCATCTGAACGCTTTTCAGTGTCAGATGTTCGGTAATCCGGCCTTGAACTTAGTTCGTCCTTGGCTTCATCTCGACCTTCGTCGTCCGTCACAGGTTCCGTGCGTAAATGGTCGTTGTTGGACGAAGCGTCATCCTCTGAATGTGAGACATTGTGGTACTGAGCGGAATCTCTATCGTCACTGACATCAATCTCTTCCTCGCCTTCGTCATCTGTACATTTGGCCTTGTCATCGGTGACATTAACGGCTGATGTTTCACTATCATGACCCTGATCTTCAACTTGACTTTCACCTTGAACTTCACCTTGAACTTCAGAATGATCTTTGTCGATCTTTGGGTCCGGTGGAACATCAACGGAAACGGAATTCTTGAAGTCTGCCGACTCGGAAGTTTTGGACTCTGAAACACGGAACGACATTTGACGGTGAGGCAAACAAAAACGATTAAACAAAAACACAATTGAAAGACATATAATATCAATGCAAGAGGATAACTAGTCTTGGTTATCTCCGAAACAGATTCCATTTGGCACAAATAGCTGTAAAAATTATATGAATGAATGCGCATTTGTGCCCATTATTGGTCCCTGTTGTTTCTGAAGCTACCCCCAACATTGGCACATTTAAAAGGAGACAAAAGCACGTTACTGTATCCATAAAAAGGCAAAGGACCACAACAACGCCAACGACGTTAACTTCAGACATAACGTCAGTAGTACCTGGTAACATTTCCGGTGACACACGGCCTTCTGTTGCTATTACGGGCGCTGCCATATCGTCAGTCTCCACGACAACGATAACCTCGTTTTCGGCTTCTTCGTCATCACTGCCATTGTGAATTACTTCCGGTTTCTGCTCGCTGTGTACGCCGGAGGTGCTTTGTGAGCTTCCCAGGAGTAGTCTTCTAGAAATAGAAAAACTGTAAACCAACGTGTCAAATAACATTATATCAAGGAACAATTGAAGAAATACATAATCGCTGGAGAAAGGCGGTGAGTTAGGTTCATCGGTTGGTAGAATTGTTGAATGGAGAAGTTATGAGCTGGTGGTATCCTAAGTGTTGGTTGTGTGGCGGGTTGAACTAACGATATGTAGCTTGGTGATCTTATGGGTAAAGGTTTGGCAGTGATATGTGTGTTAATTGAGTGAGTGAGTGAGCGAGTATTGTTTTTCCTCGTTTTTAGCAACATTCCAACAATATGACAGAGGGGGACACTAGAAATGAGCTTCACTCATTGTATCATGTGTGCAATCAAACCCGGAACTTCGGCCTGAGAAGTGAACGCCTCAACCACCAGGCTTCCTCCGTCGCCTTTTATGTGATGGAGGCTCGATGGGTTAAAGCTGGGCGGTGTTGATGGTTGATGGTATGAGGTATTGGAGAATTAAGTAATTGGTTCTACGGTTGGTTGCCTTGTTATAGTTTGCTGTTGATATGATGCTATGATGGGTTAGGAATTGTTGGTGTGAAATAATTGTCTTCAGCTCATGGGAAACTGACGTATTGGCTCGATAGTATAGTATTACTTACTTGTGGGTAATGGGGACAAACATCCAATATCAACAAATTGACACAATCCTAAAAACACCGCCAGCAATATATATAACGAACGAACCAATCCTATGCAGCAATATCAATATTTCACTTGAAACGCTTTAAATTGAACCTGTAAGAACTAATTTAATTTCCAATAACACGCTAATGTATTTAGTCATACAAGAATGGTACAGACGTAAAAGGCTTAACAATAGTAAATTCAGTCAAAACAGAGCAGTCAAAGATGAAGCTAAAGGAATTTGCCTCCTATCCGAGGTCGTGGACAATAGGCCTGATTGCAAATTTAATAAAGTGCAATCGGAAAGATCTTCGTTTCAGTGTAACCACGAATCTTATTATCCTACCACGGAACAAAACAGGTTTTGTAAAGCCAACAGAATTACATCCTCCTAACCAAATAGCTCCCCACTCCAGCAGTATAGGGGTATTTCCGGACGGGGGTCAGATCATTGTTAGAGCACAGGAGGGGTGCAATCATCCTACAGAAAATGATAACCTTATAAAATTGTTTAGACAGGTCGCGGCTCTCAGCTATCAACTTCATTTGAAACCTACTGGTGTTGAATTGTCTGCTTTCCCGTGAAGGTTATACTACTAAAGATGCGGTTTGCACGGCCATTCTCAATTTAGATAATTGTTTTAAAGCTCGGATCGTTTTGGTAACGGCCAGCAATTGATCCTTGAGTTTCTTTAGTAATCGTCTTATGGTCCTGACACGTTGTAAGAAGATAGCTCGCAATTCATTACGCCTTTTCCGGGCCTCGTGCCCAGCCTGTTAGCAATGAATGGCGTTCATTTGCGCAAATATAACCCCCCTAACACGAACACTAGACGTTGTTGACAATTACGCATCTCCAACCATTCACCAACGATAGAAATTGGGAAATATTATTAGGGTTACGGACTAGCTAAATTTTAGAACTTGTGTTTAAATTATCCCCCTCTAATGCGTAAGGTGACACACGCGAGAACTGCGGACCGATCGTAAAATCAAATTAGACTACAGCCATGAACTAAATCAGAGCCAATTCATACGATGAACGTTTAAACTGAATGATCGCCTTTGCAAGAAAATTACCGCTAATACCAAACCACAAAGATCCACAAGTGAAATTGACAGAAGCAGATTTTTGATTGACAGGGTCACGACAGGGAGACATGCTATGTCCATTTCTTTTCTTACTTTTTCTCTCTTTTTCCTCCTCCTGTGTCTCGAAAGCCTTTAGCGAACGGATTATGGTCGATCTTCAGCTGTGTTATCTGTAAAATAATGTGATTATTTATTTAAGTTTGTAAAAACTTTTTGATGACCATTCATTTAAAAAATATATAATGATCCAGAGATTCGCTCACATACTGTCCAGTGTACAGTATATATGAGGTTAGTCCATGGCACATGTTAACTGGTGTCAGGAAAACGTGGCCTAACTTTGAGTAACATCAAAACTGTTATCCCGTTTCAATATACTCCAAATGTACAGTAAAATTTTATTTAAATGAGGTGTTACATTAGGATTACCATATCCACAATTAGATTTAGTATCAGGAGTCACTGGCTTGTATATTTAATTTCATTTCTTCGTGTACACGTTACGTCAAACAAACATGATTTCGATTTTATCACCCCACAGTATCACGGTATGTTCAGGAGAATCATCTTATCAACCCTAAGCATACGATATAAATATCTGACTTCTTTTCACTATGTTGTGACATGTGCAGTGAGGTGGAACCCCATTTCTCCTTATTAGGGAGCTTCTCGGCTCCACCATGTGTCAGTAAGTCACTCATGTGTCATCAGAGTGCAGCATAATAATCAGAGCTTAAATGATGCTATCCTTTCATAGAAAGACGGCGTGTCAATAAAACGAGAACAGGATTAACAGCCCTTATAGTAGGAACCATCTTGACGAGTGATAACATTCTCCGAATATTTACGGGTCAAGGCTTCCATAGATTTGTTTGGCGAAAGGGTAAAGTGTACGGAGGGCTGTTAAGTACATGGGAGCATTATGCGATTTGTTGAAGTCTAAAGTTATGTATATAAATGGCTTTTCCATTTGAACCTGGGTAATCGCTCGAATATGAATAGTTTTATGGGGATATTTATAAACTGGAAATTTGGAAGAAATTATGATTTAGTGTTTTTTTAGTTGAAAGGCTGTCATGTTGAATAAAGGGGCAGGCGAGTAGAGAATTTAACACCTTAATTTGTTTTTCTCAATAACACCATTATATAATTGGTTCGCACCTACTGTTGCATTATGGGTGTTGCGTAGAAAGATTTTCGAAAATTATGGCTTTTATTGTCTTCTTGGCTTCAGTACCCCAAATATACCAGGCGAGGCGTAGCGCTTTGACACGGTTTTATTGCCAAATATTGTTTAGTTGGGGTAATTCAACAATATCGGGACGTAATTACCGCGTAGGTTTAGGGTACTCGGTCGTTAGAAAATGTATTTGCGCTAAATCAACCCGCGTTTAACGTTTCCCCTGATGGGTAAATATAAAGGATGAGACAGGAATCACGCTCTGAAGACTCCGCATTATTATAAAACTTTCGCCTAATGATGACAAGTTGAAATATGTTTGACTGCGAAGCCATCTGGTGCACATCCGAGTTGATCAACGATACAAGCTCATCTATGTCGTCGTTTGAGACTGACAACAGTATTCACGTTCGAAAACAAAACATAAATAGGATACTTTAACGCCGTTAATTACCCCTGTCTAATTTAATCCAAACTCGACAACAGGTGGCGCTTCCCTTCGGATAACTTCGTTCATTTTCGATCATTTAAGAATAAACAATTTCAGTGTAATCGCCTTGGGCTTTGCGACAATGAAATGTTCGTAGTGGGTTTTCAAATATCTGATTGATTGCACTGAAGATACCGTTAATTACATGTTCATTTACAATGATGACATAGTCAATTGCATTTTTCTTTGCATTGATGATCAATAGACAAGGGGTGATGCCAGTAACACCTGTAACAAGACATCGTCGTTCCCATGATGAAGAGAATCACAGGTGATAAATTGCATATCAAGGCGAAATAAGCATGATTTGCATCAGAGGTGAGATTTCTCTTATTAACAACCCCTATGCGTGTTCATGTTTACGTGCAATCTTTATTTGACAAGTAACGTATGAGTGATGTCAACTGCAATAACTGATTATTTCAATCCCAATATCAATAAAGTAAGGATCCGCTTCTTTCTAGACAGAGGTTAATTATCCAAACTGTACAACGCTACAGTCACGTTAATCAATAGAAATTAGATACACAGAAGATCATAAATCAACTTTGGACTAAGCGAAGTCGGACAGTGAGAAAGGCTGAAGAATGAAGGTGTAACTAAAGCAGTGTAATGAAGGCAGTTGTTCACATGACAAGCAACGTTACATCCAGGGTTCCTTTATTTATTTATTGTGTTGTTTTCTTCCAGCGCTGTAACGACCACTGATATCGGTACCATGATCACCACTCTTTCCCTGCACGACTTCACCTACAGATATATTAACTTCTGCTCGTACTTCTTCTACGGCTACTTAAACACCATGTACGATTTGTACTGAGATGTCATTAACTGATACAACAATTACTCGCTACTATTACAACTACTACTACCACCACCACTACTACCGCCACCATCACCACTACTACTACTACCACCACCACACCATCATCACTACTACTACTACTGCTACTACTACTAGTACCATCGCTACTACAACCACCACTACCACCAATGATGCTACTACTACTCCTACTACTACCATCGCTACTAAAACCACCACTACCACCAATGATGCTACTACTACTCCTACTACTACCATCGCTACTAAAACCACCACTACCACCAATGATGCTACTACTACTCCTACTACTACCATCGCTACTACAACCACCACTACCACCAATGATGCTACTACTACTCCTACTACTACCATCGCTACTAAAACCACAACTACCACCAATGATGCTACTACTACTCCTACTACTACCATAGCTACTAAAACCACAACTACCACCAATGATGCTACTACTACTCCTACTACTACCATCGCTACTAAAACCACCACTACCACCAATGATGCTACTACTACTCCTACTACTACCATCGCTACTACAACCACCACTACCACCAATGATGCTACTACTACTCCTACTACTACCATCGCTACTACAACCACCACTACCACCAATGATGCTACTACTACTCCTACTACTACCATCGCTACTACAACCACCACTACCACCAATGATGCTACTACTACTCCTACTACTACCATCGCTACTATAACCACCACTACCACCAATGATGCTACTACTACTCCTACTACTACCATCGCTACTACAACCTCCACTACCACCAATGATGCTACTACTACTCCTACTACTACCATCGCTACTACAACCACCACTACCACCAATGATGCTACTACTCCTACTACTACCATCGCTACTACAACCACCACTACCACCAATGATGCTACTACTACTCCTACTACTACTACTACTGCTCTTACCACCACTGATGCTCCTACTACTGCTGGTGCTACTACCATTACTACTAGTACTACTACAGCTACTACTACTGTACCGATCCCTCACTCCAACACAACAATACAATAACCGACTAAAAGGGAGTCCAATTCGAGGGTTGGATGGTAGTGAGGTAGGTAGCGGTATGGTGTTTGAAAATACACCCCAGACCATCGAGGGTGGAATCACTGGCCACAAATGGCAAAGTATAAAATAATGAGACATAACGATGAGATTAATACTACAATATATATTAACATATTCTCCAGAAGTGTGCATGTTCCAGTGTTGCAATCATGCATGATGACAAGTATGCATGATATGCACTGATGGTATTACCTTTTCGTTTTGATATGCTGTTACGGCTATGAACTCCGTTTCCTTGAACACGTAGGTTCGAAAGGCGCTGTATGGGAGTTTGAGTATGTCGTTGGCTCGGACTAGATGAAACCGTGGCTGATACTTGTGCATGGAGTTTAGGATCGTTTGAAAGTAGTCCAGCCCTGTCTGAAATGAGCAAAACCACAGAATAAAAACCTAGCTAGCATTAAGGAATGTGATCGATATTTTAACGGAAGTAAACGGCTGTACAGTCTACCATCGTGAATTCTTCAAGACGTCAAATTACATTGCTATACAGGGGAGACTGGGACAACTTCAATTTGTAAATAGAATAAGGAGCATGACAAAATATCAAATTCTTCTAAAAGTAAATATCTGCGAATTCGTTCCGTCGGAAACTCTGAGCCTTTATTCCCAATATAGCGCTTCGCTGAGAATTTACACCCAATACGACGTTGAGCTGCTCCTTTACGCCCAATATGACGTTGAGCTGATCCTTTACACCCAATACGACGTTGAGCTGCTCCTTTACACCCAATATGACGTTGAGCTGATCCCTTACACCAAATATGACGTTGAGCTGATCCTTTATGCCCAATAAGACGTTGAGCTGATCCTTTACACCCAATATGACGTTGAGCTGATCCTTTACGCCCAATATGATGCAGTTCTGAGCACTTTATTCGGGGCACATATTCAGTTTGATAAATCCATTTTTTCGCCCGACAAACAAAATATCCAGGACACTGCATTCTCGTCACCATGAAGGGAAAGGTTCAAAAGGGAAACTCAAGGCATTCTGAGCTTTGAATAGGTGGCTTTCAAAGATGACCCCGGACCATATACATCTAGAAAATCCTGATACGGTTGTCCCGATGGCCGTACCGACATGACGTAGATCAGATGGCAAGTTACGGTGATAGCGGTGTAAATCTGTGTCTCAGGACATCAACACCCCTTTCACTCCTTCCAGAACAACGCAAACCACTTTTTAAGTAGCGTTGAGATCGTAATGCACGAGGTGACATATCTATTTATTCTTAAACACAAACGAATGGCTGTGTTTCAATACTAAGTGCTGATGATAACGAGCCTTACTTTACAGCACAGATTGCGTCAAACTCTTCATTCATCAGCTCAGACACAAGAACAGTGCCTTATCCTGACATACAGCAGTTTACGGCGCAGCTGCGATAGTTGCGACGTTGCGTAAACCTTCGCACATGACGTTGGCAACATAAAGCAATACCCCAGCCACAAATGAACTCCAAGTTACTTAAAACCTCATACAGAGCGGCCCTGGTCGGCGAGATAGCCTATCAATCCATCATCTACATATTCTAATGTAAAACCATCGCGACATCAGCAATTTCGCGAATGAGGATTTCCGTAGCGATATTTTCAGCACGGTTGTCGATTCATGAGTGCCAAGTTAGCGCTTGACGATGCTATCGCTGCAATCGTAAATCTAGCCGTCCACTCACGTAATAATTCGCCACATAAGCGTAAAAACTCCGCGAAGCCCTTGCAATTACCCCCCTTGCATATCAGTTGGCTTTCTGCTCGTTTGGACAGACGGGCAAACAGATGATGACAGTTGCCAGCGAAAACGGCTGATAGGCGATTAGGGACTAATAAGGTCTTGTCCACCTAATTTGCATAATAAACGGCTACGTGATTGCTGATTTGTTAAGGTCAACGTTTTGACGGGTGGCATGGTCGCTTGTTCGAAACTACGGCAGATGTTGTCTCACCTCAACAAGCCGAACTGACAAATACCTAACTAACGAATGGAGCATAAATTGCGTCCATTGTAATCAATTTGTATGGTTGCTTGGTCAATAATAAAGATTAAATTAATTTCAAAGTGTCGAATCTACTGAACGATTGGCGTTTATATGGTGTGAACGATTAAAGTTTCTTTAACTTTGAAAAGTTTGTAATGATCACAATTGTAACTTAATTGTCGGTGTAATTAATAATCATAAAATAACAACTTAATTTAAAAACATGTGTCGATTAATATTGGCTTAACAAATACTCAGTAATGCTTGACAGGAAGCAACAGAAAGGACATACTCAGACGTTTGATGACATACACGTACTTCTTTCAACGCGAGAAAGGAAAACAGTACACGTGAAATATATTGTATTCTCACAATCCTTATATCCCTATACACAAGTATGTTAATGTCTAGTTCAGTGTTATTAATGAGTACCTAGATCGCAACACAAACTTAAGGCTAGAAACTGACGCACAGAAGCTACAAAACAAATAAAACGATTGTGAAATGAAGAAACAGACTAATAATTTTTCAAAGATTTTACCAAATAAAATAAATGGAATTAATCCTGTCTCGCGCCTTGTACAGTGTTAAAAGAATGCAGAAAGAAATGAACTCAAAGGGCACTAAAATATATTTTTAAGGGACCAAAAGCGACATCTTCATCTCCTCTGACCACTGGTCAAAGTGACTAATTGGAAACGTCCATCGCAAAAAATCACATACAATCATATATTAATTACAGCGACCAAACTTGTTCATCTGTCCACCAAACACGTGCGCCAAACCCTCGAATACAAGTCACTCAGTTTGTTCTCAAAAGACGGGTACACTTATTTAACTTGGGCGTCTGCGACTGCAAGTTCACCACACGAGTTGTCGCCATTCTATCAATAGCTCTAATTATTGTCGACAATAAAGACACAGGCGAGAGCATGAAGAAGTAAGAACGCATTTGAGGGCATATCTTGCGATTCGTCTAGAGATGCTGAGAGAAGATAGCACCTTAAGAGGTGAACTTCTCTCTTTCAATGGCGCCAGCACTGACTATGTTAATTTCATAGTGGCACGATGGAGTTGCACCGAAGATTAAGAAATTTGGCGCCAATTAGCACGCTCACGTGGGTCCGTATTTAACTTGAAGGTGGCGTGGCGGCCATTTTCTGTCGCCATTTCAAACCGCCAAACTTATCGTTTTGGAATCGGCGATGGGTTTCCAGACGGAAAAGACTGCTAGTTCTGACAGTGAGATCTATCAACCGATACCTAGTGTATTCTAGTGCGCGCTAAATCTCCCAACGCGCAGTTCGCTCCATGAAATTCTAACACATGAATAGCGTGAAGTCCTGTGACAGCGGGTATTACTAAAACCTTCATCTGCCGTAGGAATCTGGATACGGAACGAAACTACGAACATCGTGTGGTAGGCGATAAGGAGTGTCGCTGTTTATCACAATCTGATAGCAAAAACGAAAAGTGAGCACGAGAGGAATCAGCCACACAGAAGGCTAGGGATCCTTTAAGTACAGACGAAAACGCAAATAGTTAGAGATTTAGGATAACCGCTTGAAGTTAAGTAATGCTGATTGCTACTCCGGCAAACAGATACACACGCCGATTCCCAGCATATATTTCCAAACGTGTTCATTTCACACATAGCATGCAATATTGTAACAAATTCGTAACCCCTGTTATCAGATAGCAACAGGTAAGCTTTCAGGCACGTCAACTTAACTTCTCCGTACTTCGTAGGAACGAAAAGTGAGACTCTCTTGTTGAGGCAGGATAAGAAGGGGAAATTCATACATCATACAATGACACACAAAAATTCGTGATTGTTTATGTTTGTTTGATGTTGTTTAACGCCACACTGAGCAATATTCCAGCTAGATGACGGCAGCCTGCAAATAATCGAGTCTGGACCAGACAATCCAGTGATTGATGTCATGAACATCGATCCATGCAAATGGGATACGATGACATGCATCAACCAAGCCAGCGAACCTAACCAACCCCGTACTCGCCTCTTGTGACAAGCATGGGTTACTGAAGACCTATTCTAAGATTTTGTGGGTAAAATGGACTTTATTTGACTTAATTCATTTAAGATTTCTTTCATCAACAATATGTAAGGATGTTTACAGTGATAGCATTATTGGTTCTACTACAACCCATGCGTAAGAACTAAGCTACCGGTTAAAAGAAAGTATACACTTGAAAACTGGAAACGTAAGGCCCAAAGCACAACTATGATTCCCATATCAAATACATCACCGTCGAATAGCCATTTGGGTATTTCAGTTTTAGCCACCATCAAACATGAATGTTTCTTTTGCCCAGGACTGTATTTGAATCATTTGAATCTGATGACAGCGCTATTCAACCGTACGGGTGCCCTTGATGCTGTTGTGAATCCCCAGAGGACTGGCATTCATTTCATGTTGCTATGCCATATATAGAGACATGGTGCATGCTTTCACTGACGCTTTCTCCAGATGAATGCGTGTATTCATAAGAATTGTTTCAGACGATAAGATGTATTATATAGTTCTTAGTCATTAAAATTATGCTACTTCTAACATATTAGACGTCAGGGTAAGACTGCATAAAATTCGTTTCTCTTGAAACTATAACTAAACATTTCAACAGCCTTAATAATTCCTACATTCAGATTTGAAATTAATGAGTTCATGTCAGTAACATCGCATATTCCCCTATTTATTTAAAGATGTTTCACATATGAACGTCCACCATAGTACAAAGTAATGCCTGACGTGCTGTGAATACACCAAATGTTAAGGTTCAAAATACAATACAGATTGAATCATTTCAAAGTAGCCCGTAAATGCCACTTATTTATTTATTCATTCATATATATATATATTCATTCATTAAATATCTATGCTTAACTTTACTGATTGGAGCGATATGATTTATTTACATTAATTCACTTTGTGATCTTTAAGGAACTATGTGAAATGTTTTGTCGCTTTTATTTATATATTGTAACATATATTATTTATATATTTATAAAAACTAGTAAACAATATTCCTGCTTGCAATTCATATTGTACCCTCTCATGTCCCCTTCAAAGCTGAATCTGTTTAATGACGATGATCCAAATCTACCTTTCCGTCAATAATCCCCTAATCTTCAGATCCTGTCATATCGATATGACAAAATAACTGTCCGTAGGGAATAGAGCATATTCATCGACAAATTAATCTTGCTGGCGCGAATATCGATAGGTTAAAGGTTCTGTGAAACCTCTCAAAATGATTTCTGTTTCTGTTTTCATTGACAATTTGGTAAGAAATAGTATATATTTATCGACTTAATCATTATTGGTTTCGTAAGGTTTTTTTATGGCACTGGACCCAACAGGAACATGATGCTATTGATTTAAACGCAATTTGAAACTAACCTGTACTTGTCTATTGAGCCATACAATATCTTTACTCATTTATAATTCATACCAAATTGCGTCGTATTGCCAAATACATCCTATCTCGTTATAGTTCTAAACATGGCAACGATACCAGCCCCATGTTACGTTGACATACGGGCAAATTTCACGGTGTGAGCTCCCGACACGGTATCCCTCCCTGGAACGCCACAGTACGTGCGGTCCCCCTCTCGCCTCCTCGCTGTCGTAATACCGCCTATCACTCATGCAGACCTCGTCCTTTGAGGACAGCAAAGATACACAGCCTTAACTGTCTATCTTTCAAACACGATTACTTACTTCCGTCAAAACCACTTCTCCTATGCAGACTCTTGGCGACTCGTTGGATGAAAGTTAAGTGTACAAGAAGCCGCCAGTCGAGCAACACTGGCACAGTGCCAAATATAGACATACTGGAAAAGAGTATTTTTTCATATCTCGGAGGTTTTATTTCAATGAAATTTGGATCATTTACCCATTTTAAATTAAGTTTTAGCATTATGTATACGTTTCAGATTTAACCTTTTTAACAATTTGGTTCGGGGTATTTTCTGTTAAGGTCATAGACATTTCCACTAAAAAACAAGAAATGCAATTTGGATGAATGTTTCTTTGTATATTTTTGGTTTAGTTTAGTACAATCTAAGTTCATACATATTTCAAGGGCGCATGTGCAGCAGTTTCTATCTTAAAAGTACTCTGATACAAGTGTGGTTTTTTAAAGTCTACAGGAGTACCGTGGCGAAACTTTGCCGGTTCCAAAAACATTTCATGTGCAATTGTGTAAATTAGTTGATCACAAAATCTAAATATGAATCTGTAGCAATGTGTGACATTCTGCCAGTATAGTTATCATTGATGAAATAAGGAATGTCCTTATTAACATTATGGTGGAGATGCACACATATACACCCAAATGGGGTACAATTTGATAACATGCACTCCATCAATCACAGCTCTGAAGACTAGATATGAAACCGCCCACCCAATCCTAATGGATGCACTATTCACCTCCATAATGACACAATCAATAAGTCCCCCAGAATTCGCTCGGCCATGATCTCGTTCGAGAGGAACGAGATATCGCGAGACCTGTTCATCTCATTCAGCCATATTCCACCATTTGTTGAAATTGTAAATACATTATAAGACGGAAGTTCACGCTTGCGTTGATTTTATAAATATTTCACACTGTGTGGGGCCGACGTTATTTACAAGTGACTAATTACCTTACATTGACTTAGAAGGACGTATATAGTCATTGTCTAGCTCGGTGCGAGGAGTAGTTTGGTTTCAAAATGGTGGGCGTGGTCATTATCGAACGTCTTCGAGGATGCGAGTTGATGAGTACGCTAAGTTCGATTTACCACCCATTATCAACCGAGTATAAAAGGCTCATCTTACGTAGAGAGTCAAACGGCGGTAAAGACAAAGACTGGTGTCTTTATTTGAAAATGTCTCTAGAAATTACAAAAGGTTGATGAATAATGTATAGTGTGTACCTGTTTGGATATTACACCCAGGAGCTTTGAACGTGTGAAAACTGGACTTGCATTGACAACCCTTTTCATGAGGGAGTTGTGTGTACATATGTATATGTATTAGATATATACATAAAACATTATTATGTCACCGCGAACCACAATGAAGTCAGGAGCAGTAAGTCATAAATCGACCTTGTTTGATATAAACAAGAAATAAGTGTTCGTGTGTTTGGTGATTAACACTGCAGTCAGCACTATTACAGCTACACCACGGCTGCCTGTAAATAACGCGTCGGGGCCGGACAAATGAATGATCTACACTGTGAGCAACTATTCACGCCATCGGAGAACGTTGACTCGCAATCAGCCAAGTCACAGCTAAGACCCGAGGTGGTAAATGTTGTAGAGCTCACCTCTGATGTTCCCAACCACATTGACTATGCTACATGGTTTAACTCCTAGATAAATTGCCCCCGAAAATTCTTGAAAACACAATTATGCTTCAATTAGCCTGGGGAAAAAAGGATCTACATTGTTGCATTGCGTTTTCGAGAGAAATATTTTTTTGGCTTATTGTTTCAATTACAACTATATCTAGTTTTGCTAGTAGACATGATTGAGCTATCGGAGGGTAGGTTTCTACCAGGGACCTGTGTCGACACCGTGGGTGGTTTGGTGTAAATAAATGGATCTGAATCTGAATCTGACAACTGTCTGTCAGTGATTCGTTCGTAGCGAACTTTAGGCTCCATTCACATTGTGGATGGACTTTCCTATTTTACTTGACAGGAGTACAGGTAAAGATGTGGAAAGAAGGAGAAATGGTGTTTAACGTCGCGTTCAATTCTACTTCACTTACACTTGCATGCATGTGTGTGTGTCTGCTTGTACTAGTACGGACTGATGCCATTTTGTATAGTAGTACTACCCCACTGCGATACCACGCCGCAGTTGAAATCTTGACACATTACACCTCACTCAGACACTTCATACTGACTCCAAGCCGACCAGTCCGTGTTTTATCATCTTAATGCCGAGTGCCAGGCAGGGTAAGAACAAATACTATCTTTTAACGTCGTTTGGTATGATGCGACCACGGGATCGAACCAGCGATCTGTTGTTGTCCGGGCAGATGCTCTGTCCGTCAGACCAAGGGGGCGGTGGTATAATTAACAGATATGCCAATGACGTGAACTATAATGCTTATTTTGGTGAATCACAGCCTTGCAAATTTCGAAGGCTGTTGCTTGCGAGAAAACAACGTTTCCACTACCCAATAATCAAGGGTCTGTCTTCATGTATCGCAGGGAATGTATGTAAATCAATTTACCTGTACTCATGTGTCACGTGACATTGATGTAAGTGTAGTCACCTTTATCGTATCATGTTTAAATTTGATATGTTTTACATTTTCATGAATATTTCCAGTTGAATACTTTCAAATTCCATATTCGGAAGTCATTATGCTTTGTACAAAAATGTATTGCATGAGTCATGGTATGTGGTCCTCTGTCCCGCCCCAGCCCGAGCCACGCAATGGATAACTCTTGCCTATAAACAAATGATGTATTGCTTAGATCAACACAACTTTGAACTGTGCTACAGCTATCTCACTGCATGTCCACTTAATGTAGGAGGTAAGGCAGGTTTTAAACGCTAACGGTTTTACTGAAGGTCACCAGGATGGGTATGGTGCTGACAAACCATTTATCATTATCGGGGGAAATCTGGGATTGTAACCACCGTACAGTGGATCCTGACACGGCAGGGGAAGCAACTCTGCACAGTCCATTGCAGCGACTAACACTGGACCATACGTGCACTGTTAGTCTCCCAGATCCTAGAGAACTTTTTTTTAAAAAGGAGCCCAACTCAAGTCTAGACCGATTTGGCAAGGCTAGATTAGATATATTTTCTGGGCTCCATTGGGATTTGATTCTTTTTAATTTGTAGATATATATTTTTAGATAAGATAAATTTATTTTATTTCTGCGACTAAATGTCCATTTAGTGCGCCGTTAACGATCTAAACTAACTATAGTATAAAGTATGAAGTACGGTACTCACAAATCCGTGTTTATCGGAAATGTTGTTTGTGAGCTTCAGCTTGTGGAAGGAGACGACCTTCTGCATCCACTGTTCCCCGGTGCTGGGGGAGTCGGGGTGGATGTACATCCTCTTGGGCATCTCGGGGTCAGCTTTCCCGGCCACCATCCATTTGCTGTTGTGGAATTTGTAGCGGCAGTCGTCGACGGCAACAGTGTCCATTAGCAATATGTACTTTGCCTTTTTGTCTAACCCTGAGACCTTCACCTTGAACGGTGGGAACATTCGTCTGAAAGAAGGAAATATCAAGGTGGAGGTCAAATAAGCCCGTTTGCAATAAAGACTTTTATTGAATGTTTTAACCTCCAGCACTTCAGAATAGTATTAATATACTGGTTTATTTGAAGTAAATTTCAACAGGATTAAATAGGTAGGGTATCTTTATCCCAAGTTCGCACAATTATCGGTCAAACTTCATATACTGCACGATTTTATGGAGTTGAAGTGTTATGTCTTTATGCTGTGAAGTTGACATTCCTATCCTGAATACACGCCGTGATTTTTATTTCTATGTTTAATGTCCCTGACATTGAAACGTGTTTCGTTTTATTGCTACACGGAGCCTCCGAAAGTCTAGCATAAAAAGCAATAAACATGTTCAAAGTTGTGCTATCAAACTCAAATAAAATCAAAGTGTTATGCTAACACTGTGGATAATTCACTCGGTGAGATGAACGACCCGTGTGTGTACCATAGGCAATTTTCTCCTACGGTGGTCCCAGCCGTAGCATACAGTCAGTGTGCTGCTTTTATGTCGTATGACGCTAAGATATGAAAATAATAAACCTTCCCTGAGTTTCAACACCTTTTAAAACAGCTTGAGCTATATCACAGGGAGGATTTCGCATAAATCCCAATAGCTCTATCACCAAAAGAGTCTTTGTAGGTGCCTGTGGTACTACATTTACTACACGATCCACCCTTCAGGGGCTAATATGCTATGGAAAGCCTACCCCATAAACCAATACGTTCTATTGTTGGAGAAGAGCTATGAAACATTATTCTACAAAGCAAAAATTACCCGTTACCACACTGAGACGTACAAGCTAAATCCAACTGTCTGGCAGCTTAACAGTCCTTTGTAAAAACGCTGCTTTTATTGACTGGTTTATGCTAATACGACGAAATAGTAGACTGGTGAATTCAAACTCCAAGTCAGTGTGAGAGCTCAACAATCGTCAATTTCAACCCAATATGTTTTATTGCTTTGAGCAGTATTGATCAAACAGGTGGATAATTTGCGAAAATAAAACATCGTTTGTGGGGCTTTTGTTCAAAAGAGGATAGAATTGGTCATATTCAAGCTAATTTTAAACTCAATCGAGTTTTATGGAGTCCAGACACATGGTGAGTGTACGTACGTATGATCAGATTGTGAAAATTAACATAAAAGAACAATGCCTGTGGCAGAGGTATGGAAAAACTGATTTCTCTGTCCTCTCTTGCACAAAGCAGGCCGAGTAGCCATTAACCAAAAAGGTATTTGTGTTCGTGCTCACTGCTGACTTACAACTGTCCCTAAGTCCGATGTCCATGCCTTTTACAACCTGGATAAAACTCCTATATAATTAAGTACAGTCCATGACAACTGTAATAGGTCCTTACCTTCAAATGCTCCAAATGCTTCATCTAGTGATTTAATACTTCCGTACGTAAGTCGACTCATTTTACAGGATATGCAGAGGGCGATGCCCGAGAGACAATACTGTATTTGTGTTTGGTTAAATACCAAGAAAAGTAGCTCCACGCTTTGAATCAAATCGTTCGACTTACAGTAAGTTTTGACTGGTAAAGGGGTGAATTAAAAATTTGTTAATCATAAATAGAAAATGTGTCCTAGTTATTATAGTAATAGCTATAGTTAATAAAACATGTAATTGTGATATATGTGTCGAAGAATGCATTCAACAATTCAGTTTCGGGACGTTTAAGAAATAACGACCTGATGTGAGACCCCACTGAATGGTATATTCCTCATGGAGCTGACTTCAAACAAACTGTATTCCGTTATCAGTGTAAACACGCTTTGCCAAGACGGCAATGTCATGTATTCAACAAATCATCCATAAACATTCCATGAAGACGTTTGTCGCGATCATAATATAGTCTTTTTTGTTATTTATATTAGTTTTGTTGTGTTACACATTCTATTTCAACTTCAAAAATAACATTTGCATAAATGTCTCATTTACATATGTCATTACGTTGTAAACTTCTTTCTTTGTCAGCGACGAACTCAATCTTGTGTGTTTGTGGTTTTATGATATATTTCCCGTACATACGACTTTCCCCGCAGTGACATAGTTGGTAAGACAACATGCAACCCTTTAATCCGATCCCTTTCAGTTAGATGGCTAGAAACATCTCAAAAGTCATTGCAGTTCTTTATGTACTGCCCTTGGAGAGCCACGTGACCACAGTACATCGTGGTGTAAAGAGTATATAAAATACATTTGGTAAAGTTCGATTTCCTATACATAGTTGTAGGATTTCCCAACGTTGCATTTGTTTGTTTGATTGTTGTTTAACGCCGCACTCAACACTATTCCATCCCATCGTTGCAACGTAAATAGCGTTAAGTTTTCCATTTCGTCATAATATTTTGCAACATAAATTTATACAATTACTACCCTTATTCGTTCTAATAAACACTCCGTCGTCAATGCCAGCAGCGAGACGAGGACAATTCTCCTGGTCTAATTTGACAGCCGCAACGACGCTCAAAAGAGAAAATTTGCAAAAATGCGTGATGTTAATGATTTATTTAAGGAATCTTCGTTTTCCAAATTATAACAACACATGTATAGCCATACACTATTGGTTAACTTAGTGTAAAGTAGACATACATTTGGTGTTATGACACATGTGTTCGATTTACTTGTATTTTCGTGTTATACCAATGTGAACTGTATTTACAGTATGTATTAAGATTGATCCATTTGATCAAGGCAGGTTGGGTATTCTGCTAAAACCATGTACATTACTCAATACATTAACTTACTGTAACTCGCTAACATCAGCAATCAATAATAAGTAATATTTCTTGACAGTTAATAAATTTTCAAAAAATTATTTTCAGTGTTAATCCTACAAATTAATCTACTTCATGCGAAATACGGTAACCATTCCCTTAAGACAAATTTCCTCATACCTTCAAACTACAACTTATATGGAAATCCAAACAATAGAACACAAGGTAATCGACTGCAGCTCTTCTGTGTCAAAACACCATGTTACTTTCTCTTCAATATCTAAAGATCAGATACCAAATAAAATACTTACATGAAATCAATTAGAGAGTAACTTTAACGCCGTCAATAAAACATGTCAAGGTTTATTGTGTCATCTTAAGCCCCTATACATACCATTAGATATCGCATTGTCATTTAGTGTTTCATGACAATGTCATTAAGTAAGCAATCAATCTTCACAATGCGGCTGAGTGGCGCTTGTAGGCTGACTGTTGACGAAGTTAAAGACAGAATATTACACGATATGAATATATCATGTAGATAACCGGCGAAGCTTCTTGGACTGCCATTGGTTGTGTCTTTGATGGCTGGGGAAGACGGTGACGAACATTATGAATGGGGTATTACTATGATGTATAAACTCGATCTGTTCCTCCTCAACACAAATCCTACACAGCTTTGCTACTTTTTCAATCTTTGTTGACCGTTCATGATGCAGTTTCAGTTAACATAATATACAGGTTACAATAAGAGGATTTCTATCGATTATGAATGTGAATTCATTCATTCATCGAGTATTTTAATTCATACGTATCTATTTTGAAATTAGTCAAACATCCATCTGTTTTATAGTATCATATGTAACATTTTGTTACAGGTGAGTTGATAATATAACGTCGGAAGAGAAATCTTTTATAACAATAATAGAAATATATACTATACTAGTATACATACATACACACTAATGTGCTCTTACGCATATGATAAAACTCTCAAAACCTTTAATAATATTTCACATTTCAAGAAATGCCTCTTAAAAATGCAGTATTGACTATAAAATCGTCATTTATCGGCGCTATCACATACACTTCAAAAATATATGTATGATTTATATTTGATCGATTTGAAGATATTCAACTCACGACTATTTTTAACCGGAAGACAATCATATTCCTCATGTTTGGTTCCACAATTTGGACGCATTCTTTGTACACGGTTATTATCCAGTAAAAACAAAGCCTCATAATTCAGGGGCTTCGGCTTTAGTTTGATAGTCTTTTGTTTTAAATGAAAAATTGTGCCCTACACTATAAAACTTCTAATCGATACATCTAACGTGTCTGAAATCAGGAACAACTACAGTAACTGTGACATGTCTAACGAATGTCGCCGCTCATTGAATTATACGAATATAACTTTAGTTATATAAAAAAGTTAAATTAAATAATTACCATCAGTGTTTAAGTGTTATTAAATGTTTGTAATTTATCAACATCAAAATTATTTGATGATTTTCGGAAAAATTGTGATGAATTTGGTGACAACCAAATTACCAATCGTATTAGGTGTGTGCTAATAATAACAATTAGATTCATTCTGCTAACATATTTTTCAAAGAATTTTAAAACAATTCAAATTCGATAGAAAAGCTAATGCTCTGATACATATCTCTCAAAAATATAGAAAATATCCCAAAACATTTTATACTTTATCATTTGTGCAGGTGCAGTAAATTGTTCCGTTTCCTAATTTTCAAATAAAAGCTGCAATTTTCTTGTCCAGGCACCTGCTATGAGAGATAGTTTGCTGTAAGTAAAAACATCACTGAGTGACATGTTTGCTTGGGATGTTATCGTTACCTAAAAATTATTCTATACATGAAGGTTATTATAAACCCGTCCACTATACATAGCTTTGACAAGACAAAGATCATGTATACACATTTCACGAACCGAAAACAAATTTCTTGACCGTTACCTTCAATTTACAACCCCATTCAAAAACATATATTTGTTTCTTCGTTCGCCTAAAATTGACCACATCGTCACAATGGAAAAACCTAACCGTAAGATGTGAACACATTCACAACAACTGTTAGGATGAAAATATCATAACTCAACGACCATTTCCGTTATCTGGGAAAAGAGGAGACTAAGAGGAGAATTTAATTTATATCAGACAAATTTGATTTGATCTTTTGAAGTCGCAGCCTATCGCCATAAGCCTAATCGCTCATATCACATTTTATAATCAAATA